AACCGAAATGAAAACATTTCGCTTTTAATCTGTGTATTTAACAGCCTGGGAGACCTTCTCAGGGCAGTACCTTGCCTCACCGACTAAAATCAGGGCGCCCACTACGGAGACAGCACCAGAGGTGAGGGGGCACAGTGACCGAGGTGGCCGGGCCGGGCCCCCTCAGGCCCCCCCGTGGCGCCGACGCTGTGTACCTATTAGGGGTAAAAAAAATGTACAAAGATGTCCTTTTAAGAGTACTGCTCCAGTGACAAGCTGTTGTACCCCACAAGGTGCGATTTTGGGCACTTTGTTTCTGTGTGGCTGGATGAGTGTGAGATTTCCCAGCCCAGTCCGGCCCTGTATGACATGATATAGTTCAAGGACTTAGTACAGTAGGTGACCTACACAACAGACACAACAGATGAATGTTGGAAAAATGTTGTCCATCTTTTTAACCTGATCTGCCTTCATCAACATAACTGTGGTTTCGTTTAGTGTAAAAATAGCTAATTATCAGCTACTTGTTTATAGCCACTATATCTCAGTAAACAAACACTCATCTCTCTTCCTCAGCTTTGGGCTTTCTTGTTAAACTGGTTTGCATATTTGTCATGGTTTCATCGACCCATGACCACTTGCTATGTGTTTGCCGTAACGATCTACCCTTTACAATCAACTTCGGTCATTAGAAATAGTTTATAAGAAATGAAAGCGTTGCCATGCTGCAGCTGTGAGAAACACGTTCGTGAGCCTAAAGTTCATAGAAAACATTGTGTGGTGGAAACTAAATTAATGTTTATTATTCTACGGTCATTTCTTGCTATTACTATTAATGTTTGTAAATATAACTGAGAACTGAACATTGGTGTCTTTTATTAACTTACAGCACCAGAGACTCTCATGGCTTAACACTTTTCTTTACTAATGTCACACTTTGTTGAATTGAAGTGAATCGATGCTTACGTTCACCTTTATTTGTACAGCGCTTTTTACATTTACACATTTACATTTGGTTTCATGGACAATGACCCGTCGTGAAAGCATGATGTCTGTCAACCTCGATCTTTCAAAGGTCTCCGAGCAATGAAAAATAAATGATGTATAATTGGACTTTAATATTTCAGCTTCATATAAATGTGATGTCAGTCAAGGGGAAAACCTGTAGAAACTGGTTCTCTGCGATCAGAAGAAAAAGAAAGCAGACGGGGAAGTTTAAAATGAAAGGGGAATTTCTCACATATTTATTTCACAGCCCATAAATCTTACGTGACAGAAACGGTCTGAAATAAGGGGTTGTGAGTCTGGAGAAGTTTTCATGTTAATCTCTTCATCAGTGTTAATCTGAGTGCGGCTCAGCTCAATCCCTGTCTACAGATCTCCTGACTCACCTGTCCTGATGGCTTACACTCAGACCACATGACTCGCTAGATCAAACCCTAATCAAGATTTCAAATAACCTTCACGTTTCAATGCTGTGTTGGCTTTTTGCAGACAGAAAAGGCTTCGACAGATTAGCGTCACTGTTTCTAAAAGAGCTTTATAACACCATTTGATTCCTTTCTTGAGGTTTCCTACTATGTTCTTCTGTGTGTTCACAGGACGATCCCAGCGTCTATGCGAGCAGACGGCAGCGGCACAGACTGCTGATCTGAACACACACAGCGCAGCGGGGAGATTACAGATTAGTTTAAGGCCTTTTCTCTCTCCTGAGACCTCGATATACACGGAAACATTTCCAATAAATATAAACACCATGACGCTTAAAAGAGCTTAGAAGTTTAGAAAAACACCTGCCTGTGTATATGTGTCCCTGTGTCTCAAACTGTCTACTTAATCTGTCATTTAAGCTCATGTTTACTCTTCTATTTGTAGCACGATCTTCCTTTTGGTTTTGATACGTAACAAAGGATTATTAATTTCAATCTGAGAGGCATCAAAAAGTAACATTTTCTTTTTTCATCCTTATTTAACAGGAGCCAGTTACTGTAACTTACTACTTGTTAGAAATATATAATCAGGAATAATTGAAATATCATTTCACAGTTGTCTTTTAATATGTCTTATATAAACACGTATGCTTATTTTGTGAATTTGTGGTCATAACAGTGATTCTGCATTCATTTCTGCATGTATTGGTTTTAAAATGTGATCTGATACTAAAAATAATGTTTCAAACAGAGTTTGATCTGCCCTGTCATGAAATAAAAGCACAGTGTACTATCTGCTGGTGAGAGATTCCAGAGGACCTCAGAGATGAGAAGCTGAACATGAAAACTTTATCTCGCTTGCACTTGTTTTTTTTCTTCTGTACAACACAAAAGGAGACTCTGAAGAGTCTTCACATACAGTAAAGCTTTTCCACATAGTGACCACAAGTTTCAAAAATGTACTATAATGACCACCATAAAAGCACCATACCCTAATCGCACAGGACATCTCCATTATACTGCTCATCTCAAATATGAGTAAAAACAAAAGCCTCAGCGCTCCGCTGAAGAGCTGGAACTAATGCTTAGAGAAAGCATTGTGCTTAGTGCTGCTGTTGCAAACTGTGCAGCTCTGAGCTACTGATCAGCGCCTTTACAAACAATCACCACTGAAACCATAGTCCGCTTTCTGTCAGATGTAGTCTGGAAGACACTAGAAACTAGACAGCGCCTCCTGGAGGACAGCAGTGAGAAACACTACATGTTCTGAGGAGGCCACTGTTGCTGACTACAAGAGTACACATCTCTTAACATCTGATGTGTTTAAGAGAAGAATGCAGTCGTGTGTGTTGTGCTTGAGAAGAGAGGACACTGCACACAACACATCTCTTCTGAACAGCAGCATGGCCGGCTCCGGCATGTTCACAGACAGTATACCGCTGATGGGGTGTTTCAGACATAGTTTTGCCTCGAGTACTTTGCTGTGAGTACACTGGGGCCTGAACCGGAAGTGTGTGATGTGAAATCTACTAACATTTTCACCTTAGCTGTAAATGGGCATATTATGGGCCACAGTATGGCCACATTTATTTCAACGTCCAAACGAACAGGTTAAAACATTCATGCTGCAGTATAAACGGGTGTGACATGATTGTGTGATGGATGGATGCACTTTTTTGAGCTTCAAAACCTCGACCCAGCCACTGCCATCATACAGCTGGGAAGAGCCAGGGCATTTTTAAATACAGCGCAGGTTGTATTTTCCGAAAGAAGAAAGTCATAGGATGGCTTGAGTGTGAGTAAATCATGGGGAATTTTCATTTTTGGGTGAACTATCCCTTTGGGACGTGGCAAGCCAAACCATCAGAGAGCAGCGATGAGAGGAAGCGGTTCACAGAGTGGTTTGTCAAAAAATCATTTCGTGAAAAGTTTGTGAATGAATGGATTTCTTCACATATAAACTGATTAGGTTGTGTGTCATTTTGCAGGACACATGTGAAAATGTTTTTGAGTACACTTCTTAAAGCCACACAAGAGAATCAAAGAATCGTGTAAAACATTTTTTTTTATAATTCATTACACATTTTCTTTAAATGTTTGTATTAAACACGGACCATTGCTTTATTCATCATTTCTGCTATTGCAGGCTCATTTAGTCAATGTTAGCATTTTAAATGTTAGACAAATGCAAACTTGGTGCTTAATGGAAAATTTGTCACATTTACAAAATCAGGTGATTGTGTTCACCCGTCAGACCAAAGAATCAGGTGAACCACAGTCTGTCAGCAGTTAGTGCAGTGATTGTGTGCATCTCTGAAGACACTGGTGAATGGCACACTGCAGAAAATCTTCAGCTTTTGGTTTTATTGTTCATCAAAAAAAAAAACAACAAAAAAAAAACTTTGCGCAAATAGTATTAAATGCTATCTAAATAAATTCAAATTTTAACATTTCAATTTTAGATAAACTTTCTAATTTGAATAAACTTTATATACAACAAAAAAAAAACTTTAGCAGAGTCGCACACACACACACACACACACACACACACACACACTCACACACACACACACACACAGATTTAATTGACTTCTTTCCCAAATTGCACTGACTGCTCTAAAATACCAGACACCAATGTTTAAGAAGTTTAGGACACAGAATAGGACACGTTTATACGATAACTGTTTTATTTCTTATTCGGGTTTATATATATGCTTTTTTTTAAAGATGAACTGTTAGATGCCTGTGTTTCCGGTCATAGCTATGCAAAGATTTGATTTCAAAAACAGTATCATAGCTATTAAACTGTTTCTTGTTATGATATTAAATCTGTATTTAACCTCAGAACAATCTGAAATTAAAAAGAGGCGCTTTTGTGGTGGATGTGCTTTAATAATAAATTATAATCTTAATTCAGATGAAGGATTCTGAAAGTCTGACAGTAATCAGTGTTGAGAACATGGTACCTGCTTACTGGTACTGGTACTGAACTAATGTTATCTGTGCGATTATCAGCTAAAGATTGTAACTATCACTAGAGGATTCGTGAGGATGTTTGATAGAGTTACAGCGCTGACTCCGGCCGCCAGAGCGCGCTGTCAGAGCCGCACATCAACATCCGGGGCACGGCCATCTCGGTCAGTGTCGCTCAGGTGCTCAGCAGCAAAACAGCGGCGTTTTTAACTAAATCCACGGCGTTTCCTGCGACCCGACTGCCAGGTGATCAATACTCTGTAGCGGCGGAGGCGTCGGGCGCAGCGATGAGCAGCAGCAGCCACCCCCTGCGGCCGCGGAGCTCCGTGTCGGAGATCGATCATGTGCAGCTGCTGGCGGAGCAGCTCGGCTCGCTGCTGGCGGGACTGCAGTACAGTGACGTCACCTTCCTGGTGGAGCACAAGCGCTTTCCCGCGCATCGCGTCATTCTGGCGGCAAGATGCCACTACTTCAGGTAACGGTTAACGGTCACAGTCAGGCGATGATTTGTGCGAATAACGGCCTTAAATTATGAAGAACGACTGGAGACGGGTTGGAGCAGCGGCAGTTGCCATACCCGAACAGTCAGGAAAAATTATTATTTCATATCTAAAACTTCATTTTAAATCGGAGGGTTTTACAAATATTTAAAGGGGTCCTATTATGCTCTTTTACAAAGTCTTGATTATGTTTTGGGGGTGTACTAGAACATGCTCTCATGCTTGGTGGTTCGAAAAACGTTTATTAAAATATAACATTATTAAAATACCTTTCTCCCCAGGCTGGCACAAAGGGCTCGATTAGTTCCGGCTTTGATGAAGGTCCGTCTTCCGAAAACTGATGCACTCAACCAAGCGTTCTAACCACAACCTCGCCCCTCCTCACCCCCCAACCATTCGAATTTCTGTAGGCGGGAATTATTTTAATGATATTCTAAT